TCACTTCATAGTGAATGAAAACTAAATGAGAAGGCCAAAGAAGAAAATGGCACTCCTCACACCCTCCCCCAGGGTTTCAGAAGGGCAGCAGGACACATTTCCAACCTGCTGTGGCATTGAACCACACACTCACATCTCTGTTTGAAACCTCAACCAGGTTCACCCTCAGCGTACACCTATCACAGGAACCTGAAAGGAAGAAGGGTTTCAGAAACTCAGAATTATTCTTCATCTAGACCTGGAGCTTGGGCAACAGGCCACGACTTCAGCGACGAACAAACTCAGTTTCTGCCTGTAATCAGGAAAGCCGATTCCAGCTCTCACCTTCCCACCAAGAGATACAGATTTTCATCAGAGGAGGTGGCAAATCGCTGAGTGCAATTTCATGCAGCACACACTCAAAACATCTGCCTTGATCGGATTCGCAGCCGCCGCCACACTCCACTCTCAGAAAACACGGGCGCTCATTTCCTAGAGCACGGAGAACATTTAAATCCCCACTGGGGCCGAGAGTCACAGCTTGTCAAACAGCCGGCTTCTCACCTGGGGTGGCTCAGCGGCACTCCTGGCATCGGGGAGGAAAGCCTGATGGCTCCAGAAGTGGCTGAAACACAGACTCCATTATCAACAGCTGCCAGATACCTCCGAGGAGAAGTCTCCCAGAGATGGGAGGCATGCATTCAGCAGCTCTTCTGCCCTACTCTGCCCAGAGCTAATGCAGCAGGCTGGTCTCGTATTCACTTTCTTTTTAAGTCTTTCCTATATTGTTCTATTTTTTTTTCTATCCAAGCGTAAGGAGGCCCCAAGTCTTTTGTTTGGTTGGTTGTTTTTTGGTTTGTTTGTTTATTTGGGGGACGAGGATATTGAAACAGGGTCTCATAGCTGAAGATGACTTTGAACTTCTACCTCTCCTGCCTCTACCTCCTGAGGGTTTGGAAAGTAAGTGTGCACCACCATGCCTCGTTCATGTGGTACATGGGATGGGACCCAGGGCTTAACACATTCTAGATGATTATGTAGATAGATAGATAGATAGATAGATAGATAGATAGATAGATAGATAGATAGATAGATAATATTTAGGTATATAGATGTTTCTGTCTCATTCTCTAAAGATAGATGATAAATAGATATATGATAGATAAATAATTAATAGATAGGTAGAGAGAGAGAGATAGATAGATAGATACATAGATGCATAGATAGATGGATGGATGTTTGGATGGAGGGAGGGACGAACGGACGGATGGATGGGTATCTCTCTGGAGAAGCCTGAACGATTTCATCATATATGCTGTCTTTCTCCTCAGATAGTATCTAGGCTCTGTGGGGGACGGGGGACTTGCTGATAAACCAAAGGAGATTCTAAGTACAGGTCTGAACCACAGAGAGGCATGGATACAGTCCTGGAAGTGGACCCATTCCCACCACTCGCACCACTTAGGGAAGCCTGGCCCACAGACCTAAAATGTCCCCAGCCTCCCCCTACCATGCCCCTACACAGTGAGGAGTTGAAGGCTGGATGCTTGACTCTCACAAGCAAGGTGGGTAAACGGATGTGGCATTCACTCTGGTAGGAGTCAGTGGGACAGGACAGAAAGTCCAGAGAAGAATAGACTCTGTGGTCCCCCTGTGGAACTGCCACATGAGCCACGGAATCTGTGCTGGGTGGAAGGAACCAGACTGAGAAAGAAAATTGGAGACAGTGTGCCCCATAAAAGTGCTCTTAAACGTATCCAAAAGTGTAGTTGCTGGAGCTTGCTAAAAATACAGAGTCCAGAGAGAATACAGAATCAGAAAGTGCATGAGCCCATGAGTTAACTGTCAACAGCACACCACAGGTAATTCTGACAGAGAAGTCAGGTGGCCTACCAAGGATGTCCATTTTGTTGGCAAAGCCAATAACTAACATAAGGTCAATAGCGAGTTAGTAAATCTGTAGAAAAGAGTCATCCCCCTGCATCCGATGCCATGCCTCAGCTCATAGGCCACAGGGTGAAGCCAGAGGTAGCAGGAGTTGGTCAGGGGCAGGCAGGGGCCACACCCGTCTCTAACGCTGAGAGAGTCCCATCTCTTTCTGACTCCAATGGCATGGAGGAAAAGTCTACTGGGGCAGAGACAAGGCAAGGTCTTTGTTGCTCTTCCAGGGACTTTGGAGAAGGAAAAGCTAATGCCACGTGTTGATTTTTCCATTCTCAATGAGCAGAGTTACGATAAAGAAACTATCATCAGCAACAGGAGGAGTCAGAATAGAAGAGTGACTCCTATCCTACCCTGAAACTGGGACCTAAGAAGTGCAAAGTACTTAATCCCAGCACTTGGGAGGCAGAGGCAGGCGAATCTCTGTGAGTTCGAGGCCAGCCTGGTCTCCAAAGCAAGTTCCAGGAAAGACGCAAAGCTACACAGAGAAACCCTGTCTCGAAAAACCAAAAAAAAAAAAAAAGAAGTGCAAATTACTCCCCGAAAGCTGGGACCTTCTCACGCTGCACTTGACCTGATCCCTCCTTCTGTTCCCTACTCAGTGTCTCACCCCCTCTTTCATTTCCATGCTAATGAGCCACCTCGCCATCACCCCTTCCCTGTCCCTCACCCCCATCCCTGCTGACTGGCTCAGCACCTGCAGAGGCTTCTTCTCAGGGAGACGCATTATCCGGGGCCACTTTAATTACTCTTCCCTTTCTCCTTCCTGACCTGACCAGAGGCTGAATGCTGCCCCATATTTCTCCATCCGTCATTTTAACTGCTCCGCGTTTGCTCATAAGTGTCCTCTGCTCTGTTCATCACCGAAGTACCCAGGGCTTCCTGAATAGCTCATAAACTCAACCACACTTGAGAATGAAGGATGTATGAGCATCCCATTTTATAACCTTGGCCTATAATAAGAATGCTAAAAACTACAAAGGGCAAAGCTGGAGGGAGGGAGGGAGGGAGGGAGGGAGGGAGGGAGGGAGGGAGGGAGGGAGGGAGGGAGGGAGGGAATGACAGGATGCTTTTATGCGCTTTCAATTTGGAAACAATAATAAGAGAGAAAGCACCTGTCTATTTGATGGAATGGAGAGTGGCGAATGGGAGGCTGGAGGGGACCGTGACAGAAGGGTCCACAGATCTCCCCCTTTGCCAGCAATGGGTTGTCATGGACAACACTAGGGCCAAATGGCACCATGTTTGGGATGGAGGCTTGCGGCGGTATTTGAGAAAGGATATAGGGGTCTTAGAGTTTCCTCCGTAGCCAAGTCAAGCTGAGAGCTAAGTGTTTTTACATATGCCTTCCACCGTCAGCAGCCAAGGGTGTGCACGGTGAACAGGCGAGAAAAGGCGGAGATTTGGAGGTCATGCGCATGACCGAGCAGATACCACGTAGACACAGGAGCAGCCCCTTAGCCTTTGTTGCAATCCAAAACTGAATGCTGTGCGGAGCAAATTCTCATATTAACGCTTCCCCATATGTATGCAGACTCCTATGCAATCCCTTCCAGATTACCTCAGGATGGTCCTCTGACTTGCTTTACCCCGTGAGACATCAGCAGACATAACGCAAGCAACCCCGAGATGCTGGTTAGGGTTTTCTGCCTTGTAACAACACAACAACTGCCTTAATATTGGAAATGGGAGCCATCCTCCCCAAGAGGCAACAGAGAGGACCAGCAAGTGCAGCTCACAGGCAGAAATGCAGATGAGGTCACAATGAAGTATCCTGGGCTGGTGGAGGCACCAAATGGCATGAGTGGCCCCAGACCCAGTTAGCTAGCTCGCCAGGCCAGCTTCAGCAGCTGAGCATGCCAGGGCGTGGTGCCCACAGCGGCAGAGCCACAGCTGTTAGGCAGCAACGGGCAATTAGAAGAGTCTTCAGCAACTCGGAGAACATAAACAGCACAAGTCAGCATCCTGAACTAGTAATGACACAGCTTTGTAAAGCTGATTAAATGCCAGCCGAATACCCACAGCCAGCAGAACTACGATGGTGAAATATTAGAGATATCGCCACGGAAGCCAGAGTAAAGACTTTGCTGTGCTGGCGCCCATTAACTATGCATTAGGGTCTTCAATAATCCTAAAAATCCAGACAAGAAATAAAAAGGTATATGAATTTAAAAGTGAAAAAAAAGCCTATTTATAAACAATGTGATTATCTATATATTGAAAAATGGTTGCCCAGGACATCCACACTGTAATTTCCAAAATCTATGATGATTAGTTTGCCAATTAATCATGTTGCCAGTGTGATTAACTCAAGGGTTTCCAGTTTGAACCATTAGTCTAGATTATCGTGGGCTTGACCCACTGTGATTGTGGGGGCGTAGAAAAGGGCTATCAGAATGGGATAAAGGACCAAAAGAACAAGAGGCTGCTGGGGTGATGTGAGGCTGGGGTCAAGAGAAGAGGAATTCCAGCGGTTTCCAGAAGCTCGACAAGACAAATACACAGATGCTTCCTGAGACCCCAGAAAAATAAGAGCCTTGCTCTGCAGCCTAGTGAAAATGATTTGATATGACCTCCAAAACTGTAAGAGGGGATATCTGTGTCATTTTAAGCCACCAAGCATGTAGCATTTTCTTCCCGTTGCCATAGGAAACCAATAAATTTTCTAAAGAAATCTCCAGAAAGAATTTAAAGACAATAAAGCTATATAGGAAGACCAACAAGGTTATGTGGGCTATTATAAGTCCAACATAGAAAGAATAATAGTCTCCTATATCTTCCATTGTGGACTAGAAAATATAATGATGACAGCCAAAATGCCTGTGTACAAAAGTTCACAAATGCATGGAAGAATAATCAAACAAAAGATGGATAAGACCTTTTTAAAACATTTGTAAAAATCCAATAGGATATGAAGCACTTTACAAATGGAGTATAATATGAGTTAATTATAAAAATCATTATCATAAAGTAAAACACTTCATCCTAATTTTTTCTATGTTCAATACATGAATTCCAACAAGGACATTTTGTGGAACTTGACAAGTTGATCATAATATATAAAGGGAGAGTGGGCCGGAACTTCAGTCAGCAGGCCGCACTGAGTTGTGCAAGCCCTATACATTCCTGGGAAAGCTCTGGATTCAGGACTGACCAGTGGCCAACTCCAGAGAGAAGTGAGTCCTTAGAAAACTCTACAAGCGTTTGTTTGTTTGAGCCCTTGGTTCCTGGTCCACATTGTATCAATTCAATCCATCAAATCAAGCTTTGGAAGATGAAGAGAGTCACACAGGCACTGCGTGGACATCGAGGCTCACGGAAACTTCCGTGGCCAGACAACTTCCGTGGCCGGCCACGCTTTGTATGCATTGTCACTATTGTCACTGGGGAAATAGCTATGCGGCCCCTCTGGGAGGGGACAGCTGCCTATTTTTCCAGTTTCTCACACCCTTTCTTCCTTGGCAAATATGGCTCTGTACCCATTCCTTGTAATAAATTATGTTCATGTGTAACAGCTTCTGAACCTCACGAGGCCTTCTCGAAGTCCACCAGGCCTAACTAAAGAGTGGTCCTGTAGACTCCCGACCCAATGACCAAAGTACAAAAGACCATTTGTGTCTTTTCTAAAAGCAATCAACAAGGTAAGGGGTGGCCCTACCCTTATGTGTTAAAGCTCATAAAACTAGTAAGTAAGTCGGGTGCCATTGGAACAGGTGGATAGAAGAAAGACCCCAGGGACTGCCCATCTCCTGTTCATCGCTGATCCTTGGGCATCAGCATTTCTCTGGCATAGCCCCTTCATCTTGTAATGCATGGCTCCTGTCAGTCGGCTTCAGGTCATGCCCCATTGGTTATCGATGGTCATCTGTCTTAGGATGGTTTCCCAGCTTCACGAGGTACAAGGATGGCTCCTGGTAAACTTTTCTTTTCTCAGCACTGATCTCACTGAAGTGACATTGCACAGCCTGCGGGTGCCTGTCTCCTAGAGACAGTGTGTTGTGACGACCTGGTCAGTATGCCACTCACCTCTGTCTCCCCAGCGCACACTGTAAGAGAGGGAACATCAGCAGAAGTTAATGGTAATTAAATAGCCATTTGATCAATGAATGGCATATTAATAATGATAAAATGTGCTGTGAGGTAAATTATAGTGTTCAAAAGGATTTATGGAACCACATACTAAAAGCCAAGTTACATTGGTATAAAAAATAGACTATTCAATAATTAATTAACTTCAGGATATAGTCTCTCTCTGTGTGTGACACATATACAGACACATAGAGAGAAAGAGTGAGAAAATGAGAGAGAGAGAGAGAGAGAGAGAGAGAGAGAGAGAGAGAGACAGAGAGAGAATATCGCTAAGACCAGACTAACAATTATAGAAGATATGGCCTCTAATAACTAACTTCAGGTTATAATCAATATCTCTCTTGGTCTCTATATCTCTGTCTCTCTCTGTTTCTCTATCACACTCTTTCTCTCTGTCTCTCACTCTATCTCTGTCTCTTTCTTTGTCTCTGTCTCTGTCTGTCTGTCTCTCTCTCTCTCTCTCTCTCATACACACACACACACACACACACACACACACACACACACACACACTGAAAATATCACTAAGACCAGACTGACAAATATAATAGAAGGTAAAAAGCAGAGCTCGCCAATTTGTTGGACCTGTTGGGAAATGACTGAAAACAAGTACGTGTTTTCAGAGAGATGCTACATGGAATTGGCGGGCTAGAAACAAACATACCCTGAAAGTTAGACTTCCCAAAGGCTCTGTGGCTCCACTGAATCCCAGACTTACCTAAGACGTACATTCTGGGACAGAATAAATCCTTCCACTTCTAGATATAGTTCTCCACATGATCTGTTTGAAAAGTTTTTTTGCTTCAAGTGTAAGCCCCCTAAAATCCTGTTAAATCTTGCACACTAATTATAAGAATTTTTTTTAGAAGAAGAGGTAAAAGAGCTCCCCTCTTTGAAGCATTTATAGATAAAATACTTGCTAATCAGATAAATAGGGACTACAGGTCAATAGCTTTCTGCTACCTTCCATTCTTGTTCCATGTCTGACCATGCACCAGGCGGCCACCATGACACATGCTCCTGATTGACTGAATGGGGCCAGCACAACTAAGGAGCTGAATTTTCTACTTCACTTCATTTATTTAAAAGTTTTATTCTATGTGTATGGGTGCTTTGCCTTTGTGTATGTATGTTCACTCCATGCACACAGAAAACGGTGTTGGATCCCCTAGTACTGAAGTTAGAGATAGTTGTTAGCCATCATGTGGGTGCTGGGGATAGAACCTGGGTCTTCTGGAAGAGCAACCAGCACTCTTAATCTTGGAGCCATCTCTTCAGACCCATTTTTTATTTAATTTTAATGAATTAAAAGCTAAATTTAAATGTAAACACCCACATGGAGGCAGTAGCTGCCATACTACATAGTGTTGAAACAGAGTATTTCCATCAACTCAGAAAAGAGCCACTGGATAAGGTTAGCTCACACTTTAAATAATCAAAAAACTATCAGTGGTATTGACAATGGTCACTGTGTTTATCACAACATAAGCTCTGACACCAACACATATAAAGATGAAGGTCATCTCTGTCTTCAACAGGCAGAGTTATGATCAGATAAGAGAGAAGATCATATCTACATGATGGTCAGTCTTCACCATCAACTTGGCTGGATTTGGAGTCACCTAGGAGACACACTCTTAAAGAATTTTGAGAGAGTTCACAGAAAAGATTAACAGAAGGGAAGATTCTGAGTGTGATGGTGCGATCCCTCAGGCTGGGGGATGGAACTGAATAAAAATGGAGTAAGGAAAATGACAGATGAGTACTGCGTTCTTTTTTTCTTTTTTTTTTTTTTTTTTTTTTTTTTTCTAGTTCTTTTATCTGTGTAGTATCCCAGCTGCCCTGGGAAACTACTGAGAACCCTGTCAGGTCTTCCCTAACATGA